TATTCACAATTGCCAAGACATGGAACCAACCTAAATGTCCACAAACTGATGAATGGATTGGAAAAGTGTGGTATATATACTCTATGGAATACTACTCAGCCATAAAAAAAAACCAACAAGATCCTGGCATTTGATAGAAAGAGGTCAGATATGGAGGATCTATCGCTGAGTGAAGTAAGCCAGGCTATGAAAGAAAGATATTGTATGTATCCACTTAATATATACCGACTATCCACACTCTATGGTAGAGAGCGAAATATTGGAGGACATAAAAGCAGTGAAAACACTTAATGAGAATAAGACAGTATGGAATGGGGGGGGTTGAAGAGAAGAGGCTAGAGAAAGATAGCAAGAGAACAAATAGAGAGGCATGACATTAGTGGGACACAGATATGGCTTATTACCTATTGACGATGACGTGGTTAGTATTCTCAACTGGATTGGTCTGAGAAGTATTTCATGATGGGTAAAGTCTTTTTACAAGCAAAATGAGAAATAGTAATTGACTGATTAAAAAATAATTGGAATAATAATAATGATCGGGAAAAACAATGAAAAATATTGAATGATGAAGTGGGGATTTTAATGTCTCTATATTGACTGACATGCATGGCATTCTCTTTTGAAAAAGCAATGTAATACACTGTAAAGTTATATGCCATTCAGTGTAATATAAACAAGATTATGATGATAATAAATAAAGAAAAGAAAAAGAAAATAGTGACTGGTACATAGTCAACACTAAATAAATACTTGTTAAATAAATTAATGAATTTTAAAAAAGAAATTTGATTCAAAATTTCTCATTTTTTTACCTTTTTATGTATTTTTTTTACTTTGACATAAATTTTGTTTATTATGTGTGCATAATACATTGAAATAGCTACACAACTATGCTAGCCCCACCCTACAACACACACACGATGCCTAAGTCAATGGTCTAAGTCCATTTTTTTGTACCTATATATTCATTTAGGAAAGAGACTGGAAAGAGACACATTAAAAGATTAACTGTAATTATTTCCAGGTGGGATTATGGGTGCTTTTCCCTGAATTTTTCAAATATCCCTGAACAAATATATTTGATATCTATAAAACTTCAAACATATGAGATATAGTTATAACTACTTTAATATCTTTCTCTGCCAATTTGTCATTTCTGGGTTGGCTTGTATTGATAATTTTCTCACCATTAAGGATCATATTTTCTTGCTCCTTTGCAGCCAATAATCCTTGATGAGATGCCAGATATTGCATATTTTACATTTTGAAGCAGTAGATACCATTCTATTAATATTCTTAGTTTTTAAATTTAATTTTATTTATTATAATCTTTTCATATTACATTGAATCACATAGATCTTTACAGTGTATTACATTTCTTTTACCATGCATGCCAGTCAAGACAAAGACATTACTATCTACATTATCATCATCAAATAGCTTTTCATCATTTTTTCAGATTATTATTTATTCTCATTTTTTTAACAATCACTATATATCATTTAGCTTGTATAAAGAATTTACCCAACATGAAATACTTTTCAGATCAGTCCAGCTGAGAATACTATACATGTTATAATACACAAGTAATAAAATCTTTCTACGTCCCACTAATGCCTCTCTATTCTCTTGCTATCCTTCTCCCTGTATTAATATTAATATTCTTAGTTTTAATATTCTTAGTTTTCTCTTAATATTCTTAGTTTTTTCTGTAATGTACTGAAGTTACTTGGAAACAAAAAGCAAAATATTTTCAAAAGGCATTAATTTTTATTGAAGAATTTTGGAAGCTAAGTTTAAAATATATAAGCAGACTTCAAAAAGTTTATGGAAAAATTGAATTTATTTTGAGTTTATTTGAGTTTATTTTGTTGTAAAAATAATTTTGAAATCCATGAATAGTTTGTTCATAATATGAATTACCCAAGAACTTTTTGAAGTCCCATGATAATGTGAAAAATGAAAGAATCAAAACTGGTCAAGAACTCTTAATATAAAAAGAAGGGTCAAGGGGTCATCAGGTGCCATGGTAATTAAGGCCTGGACTCACACATGGCCAATCACAGCTCAAGTCTCAGACCCAGCAGCTTAAAAATCATGCTGAGGGGACCAGCAGTTAGAGTAATGGCTATGTTGCTAGACTCCCATGTAGTCGATGGTGGTTCTAGTCCCGGACCCAGTGGGTTAAACTTATGCCAGGCATGTGTGCGTGCATGCCCAAGATCCCAAGAGGAGAATGGAGGAGAAGGGATTGTGGTGTGGCCATCCCCCTGGGTGACCACAATCACCCCCTGGGGAGTGATTTCTTGCTTTCTGTCTCTCTGTCTCTCTCTGTCTTTCTGGTGTGCACACGCACCTTATAGTGAAAAGCTCTCCAAAAAAAAGAAAAAATATCATGCTGAGTACATATGTGTGTGCCCGAAAACCTGAGAAGAGAATGGAGAAAGGACAGCAGCATGGTCATGCTTCTGGGTTGTGATTTCCCACTTTCCCTCTCTCTGTCTCTCTCTGGGGAGCACATACATCCAATGGCAAGAACCAACCAAAAAAGAGATTGAAAAAAAAAAAAAAGAGGAAAGGAAACAGTTTAAAGCATGAGACTACCAGATATTAAGAACTATTATAGGGGCCGGCAGATGACATGGTGGTTAAGGCATTGGACTCACACATGGCCAACAGCATTTCAAGTCCCAGTCGCAGACCTGGTGGCTTGCTTTCTGACTCTCTCTCTCTCTCACTGTGTGTGTGTGTCTCTCTCTCTTCCCCCCCTTGTCTCTCTCTGGTCAAATTAAAAATAATAGTAAGAAATAAAATTAAATAAATATTTCCTTATAATAAAAAAGAACTATTATAAAGTTATAGTAAAAAGTCAGTGGGCTATTAGTGAAAAATTGACAAAAGATCAATGTAACAGAATAGAGTTCCAAGAAAACAGACTCTCACAAAACAGTAACTGATTTATGACAAAAGTGATATCACACAGTGGTGAGTAAAGTGTTGTCCTTTAATAAATAGAAGTGTGTCAACTGAATAACCCTGTGGAAACTACCATTTGATCCATTAACATATCATATGCAAAGAATTAATTAATTCCAGTGTGATGGGTTGAAAATGCACGCATTTTAGAAGAAAACATGATTATTTTGAGGCAAGCAATGAATTGTTAAATTGTCCAACAATATAAAAAATGCCTACCAAAAAGAGGGAACGCTTATGGCTTATCAAGAAACTCCATTAATAGTGTAAGAAACTAACCTACAGAGAGAGAGAGTGCCAACCAAACCTAAAAATCTCATCTACCTCTTGTGGGAGTGTAGATTTCATAAATCTTAACAAAATCTCAAGGAATCCTATGTAATAAATAAAATTGTTATACTAGTGAGGCTTTATTTCATGAAAGCACTCTAAGCTTAAGTTTCTGATATTTTAAGAAAAGTTGTACTAGAATGGAATAAATTAAACCCAGACTGATTGCACAGTTTTTAAGACAAATAAAATAGCAATGTATAGACATATGTTAACATGCTTTATTTTGGGTGATATTTAATTTTGAAAATTGATTTTGATGGCCATTCTTACTAAGGAGTCTATACTTTTAAGGCTGATAGGTGCAAATAGCTTTAACATTGCTTTGTTCCTTTTTTTTCACTCCTTGGTTTAGTGTAAGTTAGAGGTAGTGGCACTCAGTAATGTGAATTTATTACAAATTTGCTGGAAACGTATAGTCTTCTAAGAAAATTTTAACTTAATCACTATCCCTGAAACGAAGCTCTGGCGTTCAATCCCAGTTGTAGAATCCTGAACTGTTTATAAAGAATCCCAGAAATTCACACACCAAAATTATTACTACTGCGGTCATTTATTCTATTCCAAAGATTATTTATTTTCTGACCTCTTATCAGAAGAGCACTTGAAGTCCCAAATGCGTTTCTGCCCTTTGATGCGGCAAGACCAGGGCAGCTCCTTGGCCAGAGCTTCTGAGAACTGTGGGGAGAGCTGAGCACAGGAGGGTTTGTGAGCAGGAAGGAGGGGACAGTGCCCCACTGTGGCTAAGCTGCTGGCACAGAGATACAGGGCCGAGTCCCCCGCCTCTGCGGGCTGGATTCTCAGAGTGGAGGACGAGCCCCCAGCCCTCTCAGCAGAGAAGCGGTCGCTGGGCAGACCAGAATTGTCTGACATGAAATTGTTCTGGAAATAAAGCAAATACTCTGGGCTCTGTCCCAGAGTCTGTCGGTACCAATAAAGGACAGCATGACCGGAAATTGGATCACACCAAAGAGTTACATTCTGTCCCCTCACTGTGATCCTGTATTTAGGGGACTGGGATACTCCAGTATCTGCATCACCTGTGGAAAACAGAAAGAAAAAATAATAATTGTGATCATCACAGACACACGTGCCTGCACAACAAAACACACGTACCACATACACCACACGCATGCACATACACAAACACACAGCAAATCTGCTGAGTGTTCTGAGGACTCACCTGACCCCAGGAGGCAGAGGGCCACCCAGCAGAGGAGCCTGGTGACCATGGTAGGTCAGGACAGAGTCGAAGGATCACCAGATCAGCATTTTTGAGCAGGAGTCGAGAACGAGCGACATCCTTCCTCCCCATATGGCAGTTCCCATAGTGATGTCACTTTCACCCGTGCTGAGAACCACAGTTTTAGAAACCAACTGCTATAAAATAAAACATACCTAGAAGATGGTTTTATATATTCATAACCTGTGTAAGTTCAAACAAATGTCCTCACTCATGGTGCCTGGGCACAGGGTGTTGGAGTTTCCACTAGATATCTGCAGGTGGATCCTAACTCTGCTGGAGGAATCTATTTAAATTTGGCAAAAGCAACTAAAATTTGAGATAGCAACAAATTACATCTTTGTTCTCTCTGTGTTGCCTTTCTCTTTGGGCATTTCTGCTTCATGAAGTTCTCCATTGTCCTAGTCACATGAGCTTATTCAATGTGCAAGCTGGAGTATTTATCACTGAAGCACACTGAACTAGCTGATGGGCTCCAATCTTACAGTGTAGGATTAATCCTGTGCCAGTCCATGGCCTGATGGTTGGGACAACTGGACCCTACATGACCAAACATCAGACTGAGTCCTAGACTCAGTAACTTTAGGGACACATGCAGCACATGCTTGTGTGTGTGCAAAATCCCAAAGGGAGGTAGAGATGGAGGAGAAAGGATTGTGGTGTGGCTGTGCCCCATGAGGAGTGCTTTCTCACTTTTTCATTCTCTCTCATTCCAGCAGTGCATGCACCCTCTGGCAAATTAAAATAATAATAATACTCTGGGTACAGAGGCAGAAGGTTTCATTTTCCGTGAAAGCCAGTGCCCAGTTTTCTCTTTGCTTTCCTCAATCCTCATGATGCCGGCCCCTCCAGACCACCAATGTCACAATGCGAGGTTTGACATCCTACCTAAAAGGGGAAGAAAATTTTTATCCCTGAAAAATACCAACAAATGGTGGAAGTCAATTTTAAGCTAAGCCCTTAAATATATCTGTGGCACTTTGGTGAGATCCTCACCTATATTCATGTTTTGTGAGATTGGCTGGAAGGGTTTGTAGCATATGGCATTGTCATACTCACCAGAAGCCCACTGTGGCATGAGCAGCCTTCTTCAGTGCCATTCACCAAATTAGGACCCAACAAGCAGAGCTCCACCATGGTACAATGACACAATCTGTAATGTGTAGCTCCCTGGTTCATCAAGGCATGGCAAAGAGAGTAGAAGGCTGTCCATGCAGAAGAGAGTTGACGCAGCACACTTGCTCTTGCTCAGAAAACCCTGCTTTTCTGGCCTTTCCTGGTGTCTGGGAGCTAAGGTGATAAGCAGTTCTTGTTTCCTAACTGAGAAAGGTGCTCACAATGCCTAGACTTTTAGTGCAAACACTATAAAGCCGAGTGCCAGAGTTCCTGGGGGTCTGGATTTGAGGCACTTCCTAGGCAGTGGGTGCCAACATGATTAGCCTCTGGTAAAGTCTTCTGGGCACTGGGTCTTCAATGTGCTCCATCAGGAGACATCTGTTGCTGAATTTTTGCTTTGGGGGCTAGAGTGAGCTCTGTGGGACCTCTATTGGAAGGAAGAAAGGAATCCTGCCCGTGGACTGCCCTAGATGCACTGCTGAATATTTACTGACTCTTCCTCAATCTTAGAGCTGAGTACAACTGTGCCATATGCCACGAACCCTTCCAGCCAATCTTGCAAAATGTGACTATGCGTGGAGACCCCATCACAGTGCCAGAGATAGTTTTAAGGGCAAAGCTTAAAATTGATTTCCACTCATTTTACTGCACCCCATTACTCAGAACTTCACCTATGTTCTCAACCCTCTAACTACATGTGAGGCTGGGGGGCCACAGAGGAGCCCTGGGTGTCAGTGAGCCTGAACATGCTCTGCCACACTGATCCATCCTTTGGATGCACCCTTATGCATTTTCCCAGTCCAGAGCTGAATGCTTCCTTTTTTACAGTGTCTTCTGATGAACAACTGCTCAATTTAAAATTATAAAACTAAAATTATACATATTGTTCTTTATAGCTTATGTTCTTTTGGAACTACAGTTCATAAAAAAAAAGAAAGAAAACCTTCCCACTCAAATACATCCTTTAAATGTTTTCCTTAATTCCTTTTGGTAACATTTAATTTATGCTTTTCACAATCAAGAATAAATGTACCAGCTGACCCCATGACCTAGTAGTTAAGGGAAGATGATCTCACATGGTGGATCACAGTTCAAATTCCAGCCATATCAGCTTGAAAAACACATTAGGGATATATGTGTGTATGTCCCAAATCCCAACAAGATGGAGGGAAGAGAAGGCACTGTGTCATTACCATACCCCACTGGGGGTTGGTTTGTCTGTCTACCCCTCTCTCTCACAAATGCACATGCCCTCTGGTAATTGAAAAGAAGAAGAAGAAGGAGGAGGAGGAGGAGGAGGAGAAGGAGGAGGAGGAGGAGGAGGAAGAAGAAGAAGAAGAAGAAGAAGAAGAAGAAGAAGAAGAAGAAGAAGAAGAAATCCAGCCTTTGTCAAGGTGATTAAAACTGCTAGTTCCCACATGACTGATCATGTGATGCAAGGCCTGGAACGTGTGGCTTAGGAAACAGCCAGTCACTTGTACATGTGTGCCCAAGTTCCTGGAAAAACGGAAAGGTGAAGGAGAATGGGTTGCAGTGTGACTGTGCCCCAAGGGAGTGATTTCTTTCTCTCTCATCTCTTTATGTCTCTTTGGTGAGAACATGTACACTCTGGCAAAAAGATAAAAATAAAAAGTCAACTGTACCTGACATATTTTAATGTGAGAAATGAAATAGAGATCTAGAAACATTCAAGGTAGAATAAACACATGGGGAGGAAAAAAGTCTTTAGAGTGGAAAATGACATGGCACATATAGATTGTGACTATAAGGGAGAGCCAGGGGAAATGGGGTGCAATCTGATGATGAAGAGACAGACAGAGGGCACATGAACCAGGACCTGGTAGGGCAACTGCTCCAAGGAATGAAAGCAACCAGAAACAGAACCATATCACTGAAGGTCTATGATCATAAGCTGAAGGGTAGTAGAGGGTTGGTAAATGGGAAGTGAGGATATCACTGAAGCCTATAGGGGAGAGAAGAACATGGTAGCTTTCAGATTATCCAAAGAATCATCATGAAACTCAACTACAGGGGCATTTTCCTTTCTATAAGTGGAGATAGCTTCAGAAGGGATCCCTAACAAGTTAAGGCTATTGAGATGACACTTGTCATTTATTTAGGCTGGCACTGGTCAAGAAATGAACATCAGCACTGAGGTCATGTCACCCATGCCCTAATTGCCCCAGTCTGACAGGTGCTGTGTGACTCCCATGGAGCCTAGGACTTCCCAGTGTGTGTCCAGGACATCTGAGCACTGGGAAACCTAGGTCTTTCCAGTGACACTTTGTGTGCAGGGAAGAGGCAGCCGTGCAGCACTGTGGTGTAACTGCTAGCACAGAAGTACACAGATGTCTGGGAGCGGGTGGGCGACTCCAGAGTGAGGGGGAAATCCTCTGTGTTTGATCTAGAAACGCTGTACCCATCAGGGATGTCTCCTTTCTGAGTGTCATTGACATCATATGAGTAATGGATCAGCCTCAGCCCATGTCCCAGGTCTTGTCGGTACCAGTACATGTAGTCATGTTTGTATGTCTGTTGGCACCTCAGAGTCACAGTCTTTCCCACCATTGTGACCTTGTGTCTTGGGCTCTGGGTGATTCTAGCATCCATGGATCCTGAAATAGAGAGTGACACAATCTGATGATGTCTCCCCGAGGTAAAGGCTTGTCGTGAGGTCTTGGTACTCACCTGCCCACAGGACATGAAGGGCCATACAGAAGCAGAGCCTGCTGCCCATTTTGGGCCCAAGGAACAGCCTTGTCTTTTCCAATCCTGCTTTGAGGAAACAGAACCTGGCATCTCAGTGACACAATGATGCCACTGCCTCTGCAACTGCTTGAGCTATAGAACTAATGGCCACGCCTCTTCCTTTACACACAAGAACAATGCATTATATTGGGACCAGCAGTTAGCGTAATGGCTATGTTGCTGGACTCCCATGTAGTCGACCTGGGGCTTAAAACTCACGCCGGACACATGTGCGTACGTGCCCAAGATCCCGAGAGGAGAATGGAGGAGAAGGGATTGCGGCATGACCATCCCCCGTGGGGGGTGATTTCTCACTTTCTATCTCTCTGTCTCTCTCTGTCTGTCTGGCGAGCGCACACATCCTATAGCGAAAACTTCTCAAAAAAAAAAAAAGAACAATGCATTATACATAATAAGTCATAGTCCATATACATGCTATTGCTCAGAATGAGAGAATTTAGAGTCTGTTTTAAAAAGACATCTTGTAAATAAAGGTACTCCTTCCCTGATTTCAACAGTACTGTTTGTTCCTCTATGCATATTTTATTTTTATTAATATACAATAATTTATTAGCATGCCACTTTAATTTTTCTTATATTTCTGTAGGCTAGGGAATATTCTCATGGTGGTCCTGGTACTTTTCATTACTTCTCTCTAAAACATGCACCTTTCCATATGTTTATTTACCAATTTTTCCTTTTATCTAAACTCCGGATAATTAGATGTCATCCTTCAGTAATTACCTGTTAAAAGAGTCACCTTGTATCCAGGCAGGTTTAAAAGTTTCAGGTCAGTATTATTAGACTTGGAAATTTTTCCTAACTGGGTCACATCAATTTATCAGATAGGAGACCTGCCCTTCAAATTCAGGCCTCTGTGTTCTCCCACTTGCTTCAGATGAAGTCATAGAGGACTGAACATCCTAAATTCCCACTACTGTCCTTTCTGTAGGAAAAATAAAAAAGACAAGCTCATTAGGAATGTGGATGATGAGAGATATTCATCAGAAGTACATGTATCTGGTGCCAACAAGGTCACAGGGGAAAGTTCTATCTCCACTCTGAAAGTTTTATATTCATTGATGGATTCATTGAGCTGTAAATGAACGATGCTTCCAATTGACACCTCACCAGTAACAATATATATTGTTATTTCATACATCGGTCAGACTTCAGCTTGAGCCACCCATTCTGTGACCACATGTCTTCCTGTAGTCTTGGTAGGTAGTCACGCTCCTGTGAAAAGGACACACATTTAGAGGGAGAGGCAAGGAGCAGGTCAGTGTTCACCACATGGAAAGGCCTGTGGCTGGGGTTTGATAAACCCAGGAATGACTTTCCCATCTAAACCCTGAACTTACCTGGCCCTGGGAGGCCAAAAAACACACAGAATAGGAGCCAATTCTAAAGAGTAGGAAACATGAAGCCCAGAGCTCGGTAAAGCATTCTCAGAATAATGTCTGACCAACAAATAGCTTTACTGTTATTGACAATCATCTGAATCATTTTTGGAAATAAACATCTGACAGGAATATCTCCTTTGCAATACTTTTTAAATTACTACTGAATTGTAACTTTGCTTTTGTTCAAAATGGACACCAATCTCAAAGTTCTGTCTGGTTTCGGCGCTGTTACCCAGGGACCCAGAACAGTGCTCACATGGTAAGTAGCGAAAGGTGGGTTTAGCGAAAGGTGGGTTTGCCATGAAGTCTGTAAAGTGTAGCTTCAGGCCTTTGCACTTTCACGCGCTTTTTCCAAGAGAGAGAGATTCTGAATTCTCTTTTTCAAATAATTCCTTAAAATGTTATTAGTTTCATGCAACACAAAACCTGGGTCTCCTCTGGTCCACATTCATGAAATATTTGTGGAAGAACAGAAAAAGTTATGAATGGTTAGAAGAGCTGAGGCAGATTCTAATTTGTAAACAAACCTCTGTCTATTCAGTTACAATAGATTCAGATCTTGAAGGGAGCAGAGAGCCATTTGAGTCTGCTGGGAATTAAAAATAATTCAGAATCAGCTTGGAAAAGCCTCTTTTATATCTGTCATTTTAAGAACTTTTTGAGTGAATGAGTGCAAGTAAGAATAAAAGAAAAGTGGCCATCTATCCCAAAGGCAAAGGTCTTCAGATGGCCACTTCATTCTATCACATGACACTGTAGGTCTCCCTGAAGGCAAAATCTGAGATGGGGGACTTGGGTGCAAGTAGTTTATTTGGGAAGTGATCGCAGGGAACAGGAGTACAGGAGCTAAGGAGTAAGGGAGAATGAAATAGGGAAGAAGAAAACCTAGATAAAGGTGCAATATTGAGTTAGTGTTTGGGCAACAGGAGATAGAACTCCTCAGGAACTCCAGGGAAGCACACAGGTGTGGATTCAAATTGTCGGACTGAGGCTGGAGCTGCAGCATCAGCGGCATTAGCACACCTGCAGCCCTGGCTCTCTGTGTGCAGGCCACGTGGGCTCATGCAATTTCAAGAAGGCTCTAGGGCAGAAAACACGGAGACCTTTACATAAACCTGAGAAGACAGGATCAACAGGAGATGAGTGTGGCCTTGCACATAACTGCGCACCACAGCTGAGGCTGAAATCAGATGTGGGCCATGGGGAGGTGACAGAAAGCACCAGATGCTCCTCTATGGTGGTCTCTCTTCAACTGAAACTATTCGTTCCTCCACCAGCTCTGTGGTGTGATCTCCAGTTCCTCTGAAGTCATAATGCTCTGGGAGTGCCCATCCTTTTTGGCATATCAGATTTAATATCAAACAGGAAGTGCTACGATGGAAAACACTTTCATATTCTTTTAAGAGGCAACTCTTCGTGTTAATTTCACATGATGAAATATGAGACACTGTGTTTGCATTTCAGATGATTCTGTGTCTACAACACATTTAGTCCAGGAAAAGTAATCCATGTCAGCCTTTGGTACGAGAACCGCGCATTATAAATAATTGTGCTAAATTAGAGATATGTCACTTACTAAAGAACTAAGATTTCTTGGACCTAGACTATGTCTCTTTATTTTATTTGCCTATATAAAATCTCTGCAAGACACATATTATTGGCTTCTGTTTACAAATGAGCAAACTCAACTCAACCCAATATTTTTCAAGTCATGAGCCCACAGGGTCAGCCCAACTAACGACCCTATGTCTCCAGACTTCTCTTTTTCCAGCATCAAGCCTCTCAGGTGAAAGGAGTACTGGAAGTTATCTGTATCATACCCTTGTATCTGAAAGTGACATTTGTGTCGATGCTTCAATTTTAAGGACATTTCCCTTTACCTAAATGCACAGGCAGTTGGATTTAAAGCATGGGTCAAAAGTCAGTGTGTCCTGTTTGTGAACCCCAGTTCTGTACTCCCTAGCCACACCTCCTTTAGAAAATCATCTAAACTCTCTAACCATCTTTTTTTTTTTCTGTAACTGTACACATATTGGCAAATCTTTCTACTACATAAAGTTTGAAGAAATTAATTGAAATAGTATGTTTAAGTATATGGCCTAGAAAAAAAAGGATCAATAAATCAGGAAATTGTTCATACAACAAGAGTAGTATTAAAGCAGTCTGTTTTAACCAATAAGCATGCAAGAGAACCCATACATGGTGACCTCATAATTCGGTTATGCTGTGCTGGTTATTCGAGCGTGCCCCACCCTCCACCATCCAGTCCCTGGTCTCCCTGCATTGCGCTGTGCTCTAGGAGCCTGACGTCCATAGAGGCCAATATTCAGGCTTTCAGGTGGGTCTCTAATGGAAAAAAACAGCTGAAGATTGAGAGATAGAAAAGAGATTCCAGAGCATTCGGGCCTCCCCTTTCTACCTGATTGAGTTCCTCCCTTTGGTCAACCTCTCCATACCTCCCATTAGCTCAAGTAATGAAGCACCTCTCCTTTCTTTCTCAGGCTCATGAGGTGCATTGTCTTCCCACTGTGCCTGGTTCCTTCAATCCTGGTCATCCACCTACTCTTGGCTTCCTTAACCCTGTCCTCCCTTTGAACACAGACCCTTGATTAGACTGCTTTCCCTTCAACCTTTCTGAGAATGTCATCATTGCCTGTCAGGAAACAGGTCCATTTAACTGGTTTTCATACATCGTAACTGGGTAGTTATTAATACACAAATGTTCTGGTAATATAATACCTTTTATTACCAGAATCTAGACTTTTCAAAATGATAAAGAGAGACAAGCATCTTCAAAGGGTCTCCACACCATGATCCATCCCATCTCAGCTGACTGTGATCATCAGCATACACAATCACACTGGCTCAGCGGGGTTCTGGGACAAACCCAATGGCTGCCATGTGGGTCTTGTTGCAGTACCACAGTGCCACCAACTGGCCCCAGACTTCAGACTTCTCAAGGACAAGTTGTGTGCTTTTAAAATATCAATCTCCCTTCCCCACATACCAAGGAAAAAATTATTTTCTTTTTTAGATTTTTTTTTTGAGGCACATGGGTTCTCTGGAGAGAGACACAGAGAGGGAAAGTGAGAAATCACCCCCAAGAAGAAATGGCTATGCCATAATCCCTTATCCTTCACTCTTCTCATGCTTCCAGCTTGATTTTCAAGCTCCAGGTCTGGAACTCAAACCATGGTCAGTCACATGGGAGTCCAGCACCTTAACCACCACTCCACTGGCTAGCCCCCAAGAAAATTTTTAATATATTAGCCATCCCTCAAATACCTGTTAGATAAATTAACAAATGAACAACAATAAAACTACCTCAACTGAATTGCAATCGATTTCCATAAATGAGACAATGAAATATTCCAACTTTATTTTTCACATTCCATTCTGTGCTGTGTAGCTGGGTATAGTAATGATTGTGAACTGATTAATGTCCTCCAATATAATTTGTCTTACTGCAGAGGCTAGAAACCTTAAAACTACATTTTCCAGATTCTGTAGATAGCACATTTCTAAAAACAGTTTTTATTCTTCCAATAGCCTATACTTGTGTAAAAAATCGAAACAAAGAAACATTCCTTATCTGACAGCAGCACACAGGTGAACATGCACTGCTCTCATCACACTTTCTGGGAATCACCTTTCTGTCACTGTTCTACTATTCCCCCAGAGTGCCGCTCTGCCTCTGCAGTTTTCTGCAGTTCCCACTGCTTCACAACTGCTCTGGAAATGAAGAGATATGGTTTGCTACATCTTAGTGACAAAGGCAAAGGAAACACTTGTATTCTAGGAGAACTTTGATTACAAAGGCATGGAAAGGTAGATTTCGTGGTTTGAGGCCATTAAATAAAAATACTGGGTAAGCCCATGAGCTGTTTCCAGTCTATAAAATAGACTATGAGATTGTCCTCATCTATAAAATGGATAGACAGCTGTCTATCCTTGCATTAAATAGCACAATATATCCATATACTCTACCACCCAGAGGGACATCCCGTCCCTTGCTAGGAATTGGCAGGTGCTGGCAGAGATGTGACAAGTCAGCTGGATTTGGAGACAGACTGTTCTGTTGTGTCCTGGCTGAGTCCAGCAGGGTAAAAAGTGTTAGAAATGAACTGACACCCTGGCTTGCTAAGGCTGTGTGGCAGCACCTCCCCTCTCCCTACCACATCCTCAGCTGGAACAGGAAGGTTTGGGTACAAAAAGCCAGTAGCTCTGTAGGGCTGTGTCTACACTGCTAGCACAGAGGTACACGGCGGAGTCCCCCAGCTCCAAGGAGCTCATGTTCATTTCAGAGTGGTAGTCACTGAACTGCTCAGCCAAGAATCGATCAGTGATGATGCCTTTACTGTATTCTGTCTTTTCATAATATGAAACAAGGAACTGGGGGCCCTGGTCTAGAGCCTTCTGGTACCAGTATATACTCTTGTGTCCTGAAATGGGATAGCATTTCAGAGTGGCCTGTCCCTTCTTTTCTCTGATTAGGTATCTTGGGGTCTGGGTGACTCCAACATCCACTGAATCTGTGGAGGAAACACACAGAAGCTGAACTTCCAGCTCACAAATTGTGATATTCAGCAGCAACCAAAGCCTGTGGACTCAGAGGACACCTCCTCTGTGCTCAGGACTCACCTGCTCCCAGGAGACAAAGGGCAGCACAGCAGAGGATCCTGGTGCCCCAGGCAGAGTCAGGCAGGGCAGGGGCAGGCATGTCCCTACTCAGGGTGCTGGGCTCCTGGGGTGACAGAGCAGGAGTTTAGCTCCTCCTTTTCTCTGGAGGACTGGCCTGTGATGTCACTGGTGTGATGTGAATGTCCTCATAGGTTCCTATAGGCACGTGCACCCTGGATGGGCTCACTGAGCTAGGCCTTCCCTCACTCTGTTCCTCCTCCAGGCAGGGGAGCTGGCCATGCTGAGCTAGGCAGGGCAGGTTTGGGGTAGACTTCATCCTCACAGCTTCTCTAGGTTTCCCCTGAGGCAGGTGCCCCCATGTGTACCTCTAGCTCAGGTTATCCAGGCTGCCCCACAGAAGCCCCTTCCCACTTCTTATTAAACGTAGGCTCCAGAGAGCCCTCTGCCCATGCAGGCTGCAGTTTATCTCTCCCTGCCTGACAAACACTAGAGCTTATCAGGTGACATGAGAAGACCACGATCGCTCCCTCCTGTGCCGCCACTGCCGCTAGCTCATCAAGAGGTGTCCCTGGTACAGGATCCTAGCCAAGACTGTGTCCTTTGATCTTCCCTCTTCTGGAGATTTGAAGAACACACTGGGTGGGTGTGCGTGCATATGCTAAATCCCAAGAGGAGAATGAAGGAGGGATTGCAGCTTGGCCAACCCTTCTGAAACGTGATTTCTCTCCTTTATCTATCTGTGTGTGTGTGTGTGTGTGTGTGCACGTGCACGCATGCATGCAATTTACATGCATGTATGAGCACATGCACCTCATAAAAGGAAAAACAAAACAAAACAGAAAAACTTCCCTCTCCCAGACAGATCAGCCTGCAGCTCCGTGGGTCTGCAGCGCGCTCACATGGCCAACTGTGTAGTCACAGGATGCAGGTCTATTGAGGCTGTGGGAAGAGGCTCTGAGCCAAGTCAGGTGTCAGGATCCCAGGGCATAGCACCGCTCTGGGTGATTGCAGTTTTCAGTCCCAACGTCACCTTTTGCATGTGATAGTGAGGGAGCATGCAGCCACATTTATGAAAATTGGGAATAAAAATTCTAAACCTCACCAATTAGTATTTTAGGAGAGACATGCCAGGGAGTCATTAGAAGCCAGCTGCCCTGGGAAAAGGCTCTATAGGTAATTTGTGTAGGGAGCTGACAATGGAGTTTATAAATATAAAAAATGTCTAAGCTAAGGATGTAAACTCATTAGTTTCATGAAAGAAACCGCCCACTTATATGAGGACTCCAAAAAGTTCATGGAAATGATTATTGTGAAAATAACTGGGCATACCTGCTAAGCCGGAGGCGGCGGCAGAGGCGGGCCGGATGCCAAGGCTGCGTCCGGTCACGGGACGTCGCGGGCCCTTCCGGGCTCGGCGTGTCCCCCCTGGGGCCCTGCTAAGCCGGCGGCGGCGGCAGAGGCGGGCCATACGCCAAGGCTGCGTCCGGTCACGGGACGTCCCGGGCCCTTCCGGGCTCGGCGAGTCCCCCCTGGGGCCCTGCTACGCCGGCGGCGGCG